CAATTACTAATAAATCGTCACATACATTTATACTCATATGTAGGCAAGCATGTCCCTGCAGGGTATTAGTGAACCAAATTTCTAGTTAATTATAAAATATTTATCGCCAAAAACGAACCAGTACAATATTAGCTAGATCCACTCCTAGTAAAAAGCAGCGAAATTAGCTACTTTTACAAAACTATTTTATTTTACTTTTTAAAACGACATATCGCGAACTAAGAGTGAAAAGTTGATAAGTCCTCTTCTTCTTAAAAAAAAAAATATATATTTTGATGGATGAAGAAAAAATGATTAAAAACGCATCGTTTTCTAAAAGATCGGACTACCTATTTTAATTTAAACCATTTCTATGCATCGTAACGTAAAATTTCTAAGTCCAAAATAGTCACAGAAACTATGATAAGTACCAAGGTGTTCAAAAAGTTTTAAATTTCAAGCAACCCTCTTCGAAAACAACTTCCATGAAGCTTCCGTAAAGCTAATTTACAAACTGTAACCTGATATCCAAATTGTATTATATATATCACAAATCATCCGGAGCTTATAGCGAAAGAATCGGAAAAATAATTATTTATGTGTTTTTTCTAATATGTGGAACTTCTCTCTCTTGTTTTTCATATATGTGGAAATTGTATTTGCTGTTTTTTTCTTATATGCGGTATTATATGGGCAAAAAGTAGTGTGATTGTTAAAAACTTTTATCCTCTCGTCATGGGTATCTTTATGAAATTTTGGAAAAAAATGTCATAGGGCTAATGTACATACATACATACTTTTGAAGCACTCACACTAAGCTCTTCAAACATAGCATATGCGAGTATGTATGAATTGTTGTTGAGTGAACCTAAATAATTGCCGCTGAATTTGAAATTATTTTCCACAGTGTATCTCTTAATATGCTAATAGAAATTCCGTATGAATTTACATAGGTCGGCGAAGCTTTTAATTCTCCACGTCAATAGCCTAGTGAAATAAAAAACAAGTAATGCGTAAAAGGTTCAGTAACTCGTGAATTTGTATGAATGCAGCACGGAATAAATGAAATGCAAAAATTACAGCTAACGTAAAAAAGTGAATAATGAGCGTTATAAGAAAAACAAAAAAAAAAAAAAAAAAATTAAGCTCTGCTTCTGTTGTCTTTCAATTGGTAAATATATACATATTTAGCTGTGGAATTTTAACAAAAAATGTTTCGTTATTTTAGAGATATGGACTGTTGATGTGAAGTTTAATAAATTTTAATTTTTGTTAGTTATATTTAGTATTAATAGATATTAAACAAGATATGTATTGCTGATGAAGATGTCCAATATGAATACTGCATTAATATTATTTCTAAAGCTAAGTATTTGTTGTTAAAGTAATGCATTCAACCTAGCGCGAAAGCCTAAGTGTCTAAAAAGTAAAAAAATATGTAAAATATGTAATGCTGACTACACACGCGACAAAAAAAATCGCGTTACCGCAACCGTCGCACGAAAATCAACTAATTTTGATATTTTGTGATGGTTGCGGTATCGCAAGGTGAATTTATACCAAAAACCGACACTGATGAATTATACGCACGATGACAATCACAACGAAAAAAATTTACAACAAACGCATCATTTTGACAATCAGCGCAATTCGTCTTGAAATTTGTGGAAAAAATTGAAATTTGTGGAAAAAATTGAAGTTTGTTGAAAAAAATTGAGGCGAAAAGACGTTTTGGCATAAGTAAAAAAGTTTTCTTCCGTATGCCCACTTCGTACAATATCACACACTACTGAGGTTGCCGCAATGGTGACACTGATGTCGATGTTAATTTTTTTAAACAAATATGCACGTATGTACATCTGCTACTTATTTTCATTAAACTGTACATTAAGGTGCCCATAACTTATATGAAAATGAAAAATATAAGAAGTTGCAACTTAAGCTCAAACTTCAAAACATGCTGAGAAAATTATTAATTTTTTCAACTGACTTATATCGATTTATATATAGTTTTTTTTATTTATGTTCACATGCATTTATAAAGGCACTTAACCAACTTTCCGTAAAGCTATACCGCACCCGCACGCCCGTTCAATTACACCGTCAACCCAACAAACAAAAAAAAAAAGTGGCGTGTGCTTTTAACCTGACCCACCTACCGGCATGTATTTCGACCCACTGAATCTGAGGTCAGTTTGACTCATACACCTCCTAAATTTCGAGTTAATTGCGAAAATTGTAAAACAAATAGCAAAAATTTCGCTATTTGCTCGAAATTTTGAGGATGTACGAGTCAAACGAACCTCAGATTCGGATTCAGCAGGTCAAAATACAAGTCGGTAGGTGAGTCTGGTTAAAAGCACACACCACCACCATTTTGTGTACCGGTTCCAAGAGTACCACTTCCGAATTTTCTGCCAGCCTGAAGATCGTCGTGAAAGTAGTCTTCCTAATTTACATATCAGCAGCTGTCGGCCGCTGTGGTGTAGTGGTAAGCAGGCGCGCTTCCATTCCTCAACGCCTGGGTTCAAACCCTGGTCAAAGCAACACCGCAAAAAATATAGAAAAAAAAGGTTTTTTCTTAACAGCGGTCGTCCCTCGGCAGGCAATGGCAAACCTCCGAGTGCATTTCTGCCATGAAAAACAGCTTCTCATGACAATACAATCGCCGTTCGGAGTCGGCGTAAAACTGTAGGTGGTCCCTCCGCCACAAATCGGAGGAGAAGCTCGGCCAAACACTAACATATGTGTAAGCGCCAATCTATTATTTTTATTAGCTTCTGCAGAGAGAAATCATTGGTATTCGCTAGCAGTGATAAAACAGCCAGGAGTCCTATGATTAAGTCCGTATGAATATTAAGCGAAAATCTGCGAAATTTCAGAAAGTTTTCGCTTTTCTTTTTTCCTATTTTACCATAGCCACGATAGCTTCACAGTCATATTTTTTAGTTCATGGATCCTTTGTTATGGCTACACAGTATTTACTTGTTTTTCAAATGTAATCATTATAAATATAATTATCAACTTGTTCATTGACCATCTCGTCATCTCTGCCATTTTTAACCGACTTCCAAAAAAGGAAGAGGTTATCAGTTCGTCGGAATATTTTTTTTATTTTATTTTATTTTTTTTATGTATGTTACCGCATATCTTTGGACCACGTCAACCGATTTCGATAATTTTTGCATCGGAAAGGTAGTGTCTCAGAGGTGGTCAAATACTAATCTGGTTAAGATCCGATCAGTGGATCATGAGATATATATGTATATATATATTTTTTTTTTTTTATATGAGAGTTGAAGTCGGTTTTTTTTTGCTAAAAATTACTTGTATATTTATATACATAGGTCGTTTATAGTTTTGAAAATAAATAAAAAAAATATTCCGACGAACTGATAACCTCCTCCTTTTTTGGAAGTCGGTTAAAAAGTAAACAAACAGAGCTAAATCGCTGAGTGAATTTTGATGGACGCAGCGATGCCGTTGGATGATATTCGTTGCAACATTTTGCCNATATGAGAGTTGAAGTCGGTTTTTTTTTGCTAAAAATTACTTGTATATTTATATACATAGGTCGTTTATAGTTTTGAAAATAAATAAAAAAAATATTCCGACGAACTGATAACCTCCTCCTTTTTTGGAAGTCGGTTAAAAAGTAAACAAACAGAGCTAAATCGCTGAGTGAATTTTGATGGACGCAGCGATGCCGTTGGATGATATTCGTTGCAACATTTTGCCCAGTAAACCAGAACCGAAATGAAATTCGCATCAGCTGAATGACAAATAAAAAATATAAAAATTAAAAGCGAGAAGATGAGTCCCCAAATTTTCACATTCAGCTTCTTCCTAATAATTATTAAATAATTATAATTATATGCTAGACAAGTGAAAAAGGGCTTTTTTGATCGCCAGCAGCAGAAAAATTCAAAATAAATACATATATTCTCGCCGAATTTCGTTAGGGGAATTTCGTCGTCACTTCCGATGTGTAGAATCTCATACATATACTGCAGTGTGTTTTCATTCATTTTGACAGCGAACTTTCTTCAGACAAAGCTCGCTCAGTGATTTGGTTCTGTTTATACTTTAAAGGAAAATCTGTTTTTCACAGTGGGACATAATTTCTGAATGCCTAAAGGTCTGATTATGGCAACTTAACGTAACATGACTTAGAACTTAGAAAATCAAAATGAAACAGACTGTTGTCCAAATATAAGCAATATCCAGTTAAGAGAATTTTTAAGTGACAGCCTCTATGTTACGTTAAGTTGCCATAATCAGACCTTACGCTTTGAAAAAATAGTTAAGTGTAGTTTACCTTATTTTTACCTTGCTTTAGATAAGCTTGGGTGGGCGTGACCTACGCATACAACGTATTCGAATCATATCGAGTAGTTACTAGTGATTTTTTATTTTATTTTCTTGAAATATGATTAGTGAATAAAACGTTGTATGTACACATAGCAATAATGCTTTACAAATAAAAATTAATATTACTCGTATCAGTTTAAAAATTCAGTTACATTTAAATACACGAACAAGTGCATTACTATCTACTTATTTGATAAAGCTATTAGCGTTTCCGATTATACGGCCACCACTGTAAGCGCACAACAATGTATGTACTCGTGCGCAATCGAGTAGTACGCCGACAGAGCTGTAAATGCTAAATAAATTAATTATGCAACATTTACTATTGAGGCCACACGAATTAAACGCTTGTAGAAAGTTCAATTCCAATTTCATTTTCTTTTATACAAAGGTTCATTTCCAATGTTGAGGCGACACTGAACACCTTGACAATCGCGAACAATTACAACTTTCTTCATTTCACAACCAGCCAGCCATGCTTCATAATTGAATCGAAAATTTCCATTACGCACACGAAAGTGATCCTATGCTGAACAAAAAAGCTGGGGAACCTATAGAAACAACTAGCCTGTGTGGCAGTGCGAGGCCGTAAAAGGAGTAGAGCAGGCAGAGCAAAAATAAATTAAATTTGCTGGAAATCTATACAAAATATGGCTTACATAACAAAATATATATATCAACTATTGCATGGTATTTTCGAGGAGCACAGGGGTATGTAAGGACAAGGACTTTAAGAAAAACCCGAAAATAAACTTTAAATAAAAAGTAGTTTTTTGAGTACCTCATTCTTTGATTTCAATAAAGGGAAACCTCTATATTCCTGCGTTTTGCTTTGCAGATCCTCGTGTGCAACATTTACCGCTTGTGGGCTCCCCATTTCCTGTCTTCGGCGTTATTGCTGCCTATTTAGCCTTTGTTTTGCATTATGGTCCCAAATGGATGGAAAAACGGAAGGCATTCGACTTGAAAAATGTGATGCGCGTATATAATGCGATACAAGTGATAGCCAATTTCATTATATTCGTATGGGTAAGTACGTAATTACGTGTGATTGAAATACTTTTTTCGACTTTATTTACTTTGTAGAAGTTTTAATTTGGTTAATGGCTTCCGTTTTTTATTTAGTCAACTTTTTTTTTTTGATTTTGATTTACTTACTGCTATTTTCAATGTCTTTTTGTTGTTGTTGTCTTCATAGGGCATACCAAACTCGTATTTACGCAAAGAGTTCAGCTTAATATGTCAGCCGATTGACCCCACCAACACAGAGCCATGGATGTGGAAATTAATTTATCTTTCCTATGCTTATTACATTACAAAGTACTTGGATTTACTTGACACGGTAAGCCAATCACTGAAAGACTATAGCAAGTAAGCATTTGTGGTGGAAAGTGGCCAGGGGGATGGGTGGATTACGAAAGAAGGGGGGGTGGAGTGAGAGCTGTGAGCGAAAAAAGTGCACTGTGACCGCGAAGAAAGTTGATAGATTACTTAAAATTAGAGTTTATGTGCCGCTGAGAGTTGAGTGCTTTGTTTAAAATTTTTATAGTCAAGGCTAGATTGAGTGGAAAATATGGAGTGCATATTTTGGCAAACTAAAAAAAAAAATCCTTCATGATGGGAACAAAAGTAATATACAATAAAAAGCATTGGAAAGCCTAATAAAAAAACCAATAGTTAAAGTTGTTGTTTCACATCTGCTGCGTTACAGCACCGATGTTTTTTGCGCACCTCTACAAACAAATGTATGCATATTTCCTGCTAATCAAAATCACTTAATCAAGTACTTTTGCTCTTTGCTCAAAGGCCAACAGTGTCCATAAACACATTCGAAAGACTAATGCTGGACTTCCACTAGGCATTAAATGGTAAAAATGACAAATGATATAGTCGGTCATTAAAAAATAATCGTGTTAATACATAAAAAAATAATTATTAAGTTTATTTCCACATGGAGTTCTTTTAAACGGCATACATTTTTTGTTTTCATTTCAATGCCTAGTGGAAATTTGGCATTACTATTGTAATTCAAAAAAAGCAATTGATACAAAAACAAATATAAAAGTAGTAATCGTGAAGAAAACAAGTAATATTTAAGCAAAAAACAAAACCGACTTCAATGCTCATATATATATATATAAAAGTTATATATGCATGTATTTTTTTAACTTTTCAAGGTTTGGGTATTGAATACGGGTTAAGTAAATAGCTTTTAAACCGAATAGTTTGGAAAAAAAAATTAAAAACTAAAATTTGGCCTTTGATATCCCATTAAAAAAGTAAATTTCTTACTTTAAATATTAGGTGGCAACCCTAATTGGAAATGCGCTGGGATGAAGAGTACAAACGTATGTTGAGCGTATACAAAAAAATGCGTATTGAAATTAACAAAATACACTTTTCTATTAAAAATAGTGTTCTCAAGAATAACTTTAATTTTATACGCATATTGCGTCGTTTTAGTTAAATTTTGTAGAATCGAAAATAAGTTGCAACCTTTCTCTAATATCCTAAGGGATAACAATTAGTATGTAAACAAATCATTTCTTAAGAGCCTTCTTCTAGTATTCATGAATAGTGATATTGTACCTTTAATTTTTAAACAAAAAATTAACTAAATGTAGGATTCAAAATAGGTGGCAACCCTATTCAAAAATATTTATGGTTTGGGGATTTTTAAAATACCTTTCATTTGGTACCCATATTGTGACGTTTTATTTAATTTCCAACTAATTTCGAATAGGTGGCAACCTTTAACGAGTATTCTCGGAGGTAATACCTATTCGGATAACCTTATAATTCAAAACATTATCTGTATTAAAAATTTCATAAAAGCCGTTTCAGAGAATCCTAGGGATTTATATAATATAAGAATTGCTCGTTTGATGTAATAAGATAAGATTACCGTTAATTTCTTCATGATCCAATGATCGGATCTAAACCAAATTAGAATGAGACCACTTCCTTAAAAAAAATTATAGAAATCGGTTAACGTGATCCATCGTTAAGCGGTAATACGGTAACGAATTGATAACCTCCCCCAGTTTTTGAATTCGGTTAAAAATATTTTCAAATCTTACGAATTCTTTTTGCAAAAAAAATCTACCAAATATATTATTCGATAACTTCATAAAATGTTCGACGATTAGTTGTTTACAAAATTGACATGGGTGTTCCTTTCATCACTTTCATCACATACGTATTTACCTTTTGGGAAGCTGTGTTCCGAAACGCAGCTGCAATGACTTTGCCATGCCGTTTATATGTTTGCGGTGTTGAAGTTGTAAACATTTTTGTTATGAATTTCATAGCCGCCTAGACATTTAGAATAGGAATAGGATGTTTCTCCGTTTATATTTAGCATGCCATTTTACCAGTGTTGCCTACTTGTCGTTGGATCAACTCAGCTAGAAAGGCAGTACAATATTCAAGGCGCAAGACGCGTAGTCGATGTTCAGTTCAAGAGTTCAGCAGAATCTATAATTAAATGTTCCTTTTGTTGCTTTGTAGGTGAATTTCCGCTGTCAGTTACTATCAGTAACCAAAATTCAATTTTCCCTCGACGTTATCACAGACCGCATCAAATGACTTGTGTGTAGAAAGAGTTTAGTTGAAGGTCAAGACATTAAAGCTTATCAGTTTATGAGTTTTGTTGTAACAACAATGTTGCTAAAACTTTCAGTCCCAATTCATAGCGCACTTTGACCTGCTAAAATGCACAATCGCTCGCTCAGATACATATGTATATATATACACTAGGGTGTTCCAAAACAAGTAAAGTCGGAATTTTAATACTATTGGGTATTGTTACTGAAAGTCTTCTGGAGAAGAACAGAGTTTTCCCGATCGAAAATATTCTATTCCATTTCAACGAATAGTGGTTTTTTCCCCATATAAAATACATGGAAAACTTTGAGCGCCTTGAGCAACCTCTAGATATTTTTTGATTTCAAAATAAAAAAAATAGAGGTATATTTTTTCGGTATAGAACAATCCTAGGGGGTGAGCGCATAAAACTTACGACTTTAATTTTTATATGCATTTTTGGACCACCCTAATGTACACATATGTATATATGCACTTTGTTCTATTTTCTTTTGTTTTCACACTAATACCTTTATATCATCTTCTTGTTTCTTTTTGCAGATTTTCTTTGTGTTGCGCAAGAAGAACAATCAAATCACCTTTCTGCATGTTTACCATCACGCCGGCATGATTTTCGGTGTTTACGTTTTCGTGGCTTTCTTGGCAGGTAAGTTTTTTGATAGCAACAAGTAAACATTGATAGAAATACAAAAGTGAAGTGTTGTGTGTGAATAACGGAAGACAGCAAAAAGTCATTAAAAGTAAAGAATACGAAGATTCTATCGCACGAATCGCGTCGAATACGAAGTTTAGCGCTTCCGGTTTCCAACACCTCCATATCCGGAATCTAATTTCACTCGAGCTAATATTCAATTTTCCTTTATCTATTTTATCTTCTACAGGCAGTCACAGCACTATGTTGGGTATTATCAATCTGCTCATTCACACCGTTATGTACTCCTACTATTTTGTGACTTCGGTGTGGCCGGCTAAACAATCCGTTTGGTGGAAGCGTTACATTACACAGTTGCAATTACTGCAGTTCGGCTATTTGGTTATACACTTTGCGATGGCAATTGTGTTCAATCATTGCCAACATCCGGTGCTGATCTCCTTTGTCGGGATCACACAAAACGTTTTCATGTTTGTGCTATTCTTTGATTTCTACTACAGTGAGTACGTAAGAAAACCGAAGTTGTTGGCCCGCAATGAGCAGCAACAGCAGCGAAAGCTACAGATAAATGCAAAGGAGGCAGACCAGGCCAAAACGCGGTCTGCACAGACGGACAATGTGCAAGCGCACATCTTAGCTTCGAAAGACGACAATTCACAATTCGATCGGCTGCAACAGGCACGCGCCACACAAGCGGCCGAGCAATTGAACTCATACAGCAATACGGCGACTAGCAGAAGCAAGCTGCATTTATTGCCAACGTCTAGTCTACTTAAAGCGAAATGCAGTTAAATATAGTTTAAATATTTTTAATATAGTTTTTCATTTTAAAACTTTTTTGTTTGTGAAAATTAAAGTTTTCAGCGTTTAAGTATTAAAATACGAATTTAAAGGCTATTTTGTAAGCAGATTTTTAGGGGTCGTGCAATTGCATACGCTTATATCTTAGACGGGGTAGGTCCGTCTGAAAGTGCCTCTAGTTTTAGAGATTCATTTCAGAAGTTTTTGCCTCCGTAAAAGTTTATGTCGCTACCTAGTCCTAATGCAGTCAAAATGGAGTTTCATCCTGCACAAAACTAAACTTTGGCCATTTTTAGGACTCGGTACAAAACTCCGGATCCGAATGGAATCATACCAGCGATGCTACAACAAACGATTGCCATAATAACTCCTTGGGATGGGGAGTTCTGAGTCTACAGATCATGCGCCGCCTTTATTTCTGAAAACTTCAGTGTGGCGGCTCAGCATGAAGGCGGATCGGTTGAACGAGCGTGGCATGAAATCATGGGAAGCATTGAACAAGCTTTCTGGAGTTGCGGTGACAGGCTTTCTGGACGTGAAAGGCGCCTTTAAAGTTATTAGTTTGACGTCTATACACTCCTCTAAGGTTTCTGTAGGATTGAAACCACGGATCATTCTTTGGATCGGCAATAGGTTGAGAGCATCAATGGGAATCGAAGATGTAAGAAAACAGACAGACGTGGTAGTCCTCAAGAGGGGATTCTATTTTCTCTGCTGGTCGGCTGTGAATCTTGTACTTAGTCGTTCTGGTCGTAGGGAAGTACATATCGACAGTGAGTGAGCATCTAAAATGGTGGGATGCTGTTGACACCAAATCCTATTCTTTAACCTGCAACAGATGCAGCGACAACAGGATCTGCTCAACGCTCTTGGTGGCATTAAAGAGACTGCTAGATGTTACATTTAGGTTATTTACGTTTATACATAAATATATATTGCACAGGTCCCGCTAGCATCTTGAACAGAGTTGTAAGGTTACGAGAATAATTTTCGACAGAAACTTCAAAATTCATTTTCCCAACGGTAGCTTAAGAACGATCTAAACGATGTTGAAATCCCATTCAACTCGAATTACTTCAAAATGGACATTTACAAAGGATCTGGCATCTTCTTTCATTTTTAGAGAGTCCTACAGACTCGCAAATTACTACTCTGATTTCCCGGCTAAGGAACATGCAATTGACATGGAGTTAAAGCAGGTAAGCATAATCAATAAAAGCAGTCTTAAGACGGCTTAGTATATGAACAATGTCTCGCTTAGGATTAAAAAAACCGAGAAGAGGAACTTAATAATTGATAGTAGTCTATTAAGAGATAGTAGTTTATGATTAATTCTGGGTGTCCGTTAACCAAAACTCCAATCCAATCATATTTACTTGATCGCTCATTCAACGAAGGCGGAGGAATGCTTACCAATGGACAGTCCAAAGACTTAGAAAACCCAGGAAATAAAGGACTATATCTTATTCTAATCAGAAAGTGGGACGGCACTCGGAACTGCTTGACTCGTTTCGCTGACTCCACTTGCTGGGTTGAGTAAGTGGGATATAACGATTTGCATGGTAAGTAAACGGGCTCATAAATACGAAACACTTCATCCTAACCAAAGGATTATTTTACTTGAGAGGAGTGTGCCTGTTTAGTTAAAACCATGTCCCCAGGATTAAAGGAAGATAGAATGACAAATGACAACACCATCAAATATTAATTCTAAATTTTAGTTACTGTATGCCCTAAACGTGCTTCCTTATTTTAAAATTTTTGTTGAAGAATTGCATTATATTGGATTTTCACTGGACATTAAGTGACAAAAATGTTGATGGTGAAGTGGAGTATTGAAAATATATCTGCGTCATTACGTTTAAAATAATAATCATTAGCTCTCTTTCCATATACCATTTTTTAAATGGTAGGTATACATTTTTCTTTTGTCATTTTTGTCACTCCAAAGCCTAGCTGAAATTCGGCATTATGATTACAGATTCAAAATCTTATGCTGAATTTCCACTAGGCATTAGATTATAAAATGTCTAATGACAATGGTGGTTACTAGTGGTAATTCGGCTTAAGGTATGTAAGTAAGCTGTCTACCTTTATTTTATTTACTTACTAATTTTAAATTTGCAATTACAACAAAAACAGCCAACAATTCCATTCCAATTAGTCTACAAAACCAACAATGCATCTGTAGACAAAAGAAATAAAATTGTTCATACTAGCTTAAAGGTGCATGTAGTATCTGGCAATGGGCTGAGCAGGGCACATTTCTACATAGAGACCCCATAGGTACACACACATGCACACACACACATATACTGCAGTGTTTGAATTAATTTATATGCTTGTTTGCTTGATTCGAAACTCTGATACAGGATATCTTATTGCCAATGGATTTCGATGCTTTCACTGGATTGAGAGCTCAACCGGTCACATGCGTGTATGTGTCCTTGAGTTGCAACGTGCCATAGACACGTAAAGTTTCCGTAGCCTTTTTGATTTGTACTTAGCTTTCTGTTTGTCCTCTCTGTCGAACCGGAGCGAGATGAGTAGAGTTTCTTATTAAATTTTAATAGAGATTTTATCTCGAATTTTGTTTTGTTGTTTTTGTTCGTTTATTGAAAAATGTGCTCTGTGATTCTTTATTAATTCAATCGAGTGTACTTTAGCAGCATTTGTCTGTAGAAGTACAGAAATGTACGCACAAAGAAGTATTTGTATAATAAAACCGGTCAAAAGTCAGGGTTATCAACTTTTATAAAGGTCTATTTAAATATATTATTTCCCCAGATATATAATCGATCTGCCAATTGACAGACATTAAAATCTCGCTAACCGCTAACGTTAAATATAACATAGCCCATATTGTGAAATTTGTTTTTGTTTGCTACGCCTTCCATGGCTACATTTGTTTCTTTCGATATTTCTTTATGGATCAAACTTAAAATAAAACTACACTGAGAGAAAAAACGCTTAATTAGGCACATAAAGAAAATCACACAATTAGTCGCATGGGATCCCGAGTGACCCCAATAAAAGTGTTTTTAAAATAAAATAAAATTAAAGTGTTAACAAAAAAAAACATAATTTTCCATAATTTCCAAGCCCTCCGGGACATTTTTTTTAAAAATGGCCTGGACCCCATGCGCCTAATTAAGGGTTAAGAAAAATGTTATGGATTCACTGAGGGAAATAACGCATAGTAAGAATGAATATGTCTTATTTGATTATCGTTTTAAAATCTTCTTATTTAAAAATAATACTTTCTTACCATGCTGTGGTGTCGACCCAAAATCAATATTTAAAGGCAAATTTACATATCTGGCTGTAGCTGAGATACTTGCCACAATTTGTTTATTTCCAGAGGGTCAAGATTCAAATCCTATTGCAGACAGCATGGAAATAAAATTTTTGTTTTGTTTATCTCAATTATGAAAAAGCATCCGTGAAGTGCACAACGCTTCATTTTATTATGGGCGTATTTGTATTGAATATTTCCATACTAAATACTAAAATTTGTATTCCAAAATTTATAACGAGTTGGGTTGGTGCTCTTTTATAAGCGCATTTTTTCTTTAATTTAACACATTTTTCTTTAATTCTAAAATATTTTTTTAGTGTCGAGGTTTGCGATCCTTCAAAAAGGGTTTGAAGCAGCAACCTTTGAAGGCTTGTTATAAAAGCGGCCTGTGCTCGCATAACTAATATAATAAATTATTTTATACTCTTTAGTTCTTGTTGTAATGAAAGCATGTTTATGGCTTTTTAAAAATATAATTTTACTAAAAACAGTATTGCATCTACTCAGAAAATCCCAAAACTAATATCAGCGTTTTCACTTTAATTGAAAAATTTAAATTTTATATGCAAGCTAACCTACTGATCATTTGACAGATAAAATTAATTGCTCTTATTTACTTGATTTACTATAGTCATCAAACCACAAAATTCTTGTAAAATATTTATGTATTTGTTTTCATACACATACATACTCACAACCTCAACAACCACAAAATGACAGAAAAAATCCGCAATAGTCCAACTTGATTCGCAGTGATTTAAAGTTGTGGGAAAAAAATCTCTAACAGAGTAAAAAAATAATAGTTTTGTGTTCTACATACATATTTACATGCAGCTTTTACAAAAGTTAAGTTATTTAACACCATATCAGTCGCAATAATCAACAAAAAATATTTCATTCACTGAATACGAATAATTATTTACTTACTTACATACACACATACATAAGTCAAACTAAGTGAAATTGAAGGGAAATCGGGTTTTAATTGGTGTCAAATTCTAACTAAATTAAAATTAGATATGTAGTACCAGTTTGCATGGTTTAGTATTAAAATGGCTAAAATTTTCAAGAATTTAAAAGTTTTTTTTTTGTTTCCGCTCTGGTAAAAATAGAGCAAAAAAAATGAACTAACCCCTCTACAATGGACCCAATTTTCATGAAAAACTTCTTTAATTACAGAGTTAGGTAGTTTCAAATAAGCTGCGGCATTGTCTATGCGTTAAAAGCAAAATCAGCTATGGTTTTGCAAAAAATAAGAGAGTTTTTTTTTATTTATTTTGTTTTCTAGAAGGCGATATAGTACTTCCCGATAGAGTTTCTGCATGCGATAAATAAAATATTAACTGAAATCACATTGAAATATCGTTTTTTTTTCTTAAAATTCACTAATTTCTATCAATGGGTCCAAATGATCCAAAACATTATGGGGAGTGGTAAATTCCAAACACTGCAGAAGGGTTAAGCTACAAATTAAAAACTGAGTTTCAACTAAGCTGGAGAGTTAAACAAAATTTGGACTACTAACCAAGAAAGGGAGTGTCAATAGTATAGCCTTTCCATCTTTCTAATTGCTTTAAGATTATAACTAGCACCTCTCTAGTTCAGATTTGTTATGATTTATTACCTATTACAGCCCTTTTTGTTTAGCTGCCTATTCGATTTGCTGTATTTACTGCTTATTCGCACGATTTTG